TGGCAACAGGAGCATCTCGCACTCATTTGTTCCTGGACTTCTTAATTAGGAGGCAGGTTGTAATATCTTCAGAACTCTCCTAAAGTTACAGGTTAATTCACATAAACTTTTAAATATGTACCATTTATAGCTAGATCTTCCTAAAGAGAGTCTTGCTGTCAAAAAGGAAACTGAAAGCAAGTGATAATAAAGAAAGTTACAATTTGAGTGTACGCTACATGCCAAGCGTTATGTGCCAGTTTCCAGAAAATACTTCCAGAAAAAAGAACTGCTGGCTCTGACCCCTTAGAACTAAGGCATGAGAATTACAGAACTTGGATCCATAGAGCCAAAGAGACTTTAGGAGTCTGGTAATCCAAGTCTTGAATGTATATATTATGTATATTTTAATGCTTATATTTAAAGAAAGGAAAACTGAGGCTCAAGGAAGTTGTGAGACCTGCCCAAGGTCACCCCACTGGTGAGCTCCATGGCCAAGAGCAGCTCCCTGGCTCCCTGTCACCCGGAGCCCTTTCCAGTAAGCCACACGACGCTCAGGCTCTTCTCCCCACCCATCCCAGCTGACCTGATGTGAAGGGTCTGCAACTGTGGAGGAACATCTGGGAGACATAGAACCTAAGAGAAGGGTGGAACTTTGGAGGTCACATGCCAGTCTCTTTACCTGTGCAATGAACAGTCCCAAAGAGGCTGAACAACCTGTCCCAAATTACTCAGGAATTAGTGGCACAGCTGAGCCTGGAGCTTCTCTTCTCAATCATTGCCCTGTGACCTTTCTCCTTCTCAAAGCTTCCTCAGATGCCTGGAGCCACCTCAGGTGAAACCATACCTTGGCCACTCTGATGCTTAGTGAGCATTAGATTAAAACCACACCAGAGCTGCAGGGCCTCACTGGAATAATATCTGTGTAACTTCCTAGGTTTACTATGGTGGGTAGAATGGTGACCCCCTCCTCCCTGAAAGATACATCCACATCAAATCTCTGAAACCTGTGAATCCTAACTTATTTGGGAAAAAGGTCTTTGTTGATGTACTTAGGCTGAAAATCTTGAGATGAAGAGACCATCTTGGACTAGCTAGGTGGGCCCTAAATCCATTGACAAGCATCCTTATAAGAGAAAGGCAGAAGGAGGTTTGGCACAGAGAGAAGAGGAGACGTCACAGAGAAGGTGGCCACGTGGAGACAGAGGCACAGGTTGGCCTGATGTAGCCACAAGCCAAGGAACACCTGGGGTCACCAGGAGCTGGAAGACACAAGGATGGATCCTCCCCTAGAACCTTCAGATGGAGCATGGTCCTGGCCCACACCTTGATTTTGAACTTCTAACCTCCAGAACAGAGAGAATAACATTTCTGTTGTTTTAAGCTGTCATCGTTTAAAGCAAAAACAGGAAATGAATACATTTATAATCTCTATAGATAAAATAAATTCTTAAAAAACACACAAAACCAAGGTTCATAGTACTTACAATGAATCTGCAATCATAATGTTTCGCCAACAACTGGGTCAGAGAATGACAGGCAGGGGGAGGGGGAGGGCAGAGTGTGTGCAGGCCAAGATAAAATAAATTCTTAAAAAACACACAAAACCAAGGTTCATAGTACTTACAATGAATCTGCAATCATAATGTTTCCCCAACAACTGGGTCAGAGAATGACAGGCAGGGGGAGGGGGAGGGCAGAGTGTGTGCAGGCCAGCCCTGCTTCATATTTGGTGACCAAGCCGAGCTGACTCACAAGCTGTCACATGCCAGAGTGATAATCTTGCAGGACATTTTTCTAGGTTGCACATCCCTCTGAGGCGGACAGCACGCCTGCTGGGTGGATCCTGAATCCAAGTCCAGACCAGTGCAAACTACTCCCAGTCCCAACGCTGAAGGCATCACATGCCAGGTCTCCAAGCCTTAACCCTCACAATACGGCCTTCACTGAAACCTGAAGCCAATTTGGGATGAGGCCTTTGCAGCCCCAGTGAACACCAAATTGCTCGGGCCTCAGGGAGAAAACAGAGTGAGCAGATGTTTCTTCCAAATGGCATGTTCTTGGATCCAGCTTTTAGATATTCCTTCCCACAGCTGTTGAACTAAATCTGAAGGCAATCAACACACACACACACCCCTTTTGCCTCCCCACCTCTTTTTGGGGAGTACAGTTCTCCATGTTCCCTGAGGAGACAGCTGCTTCCATCTGTGCTGTCTGCCAACATGACTGTCACAAGCTTGGGGATATGTTCAAGATCTTCCTGCCTCTCTTCCTATGGCTGCACATCTGGGAAATGGTTCTGGTGTTTTATTGTTTTAAGATGAAATCTCCCAGTTGCTCCCAACTCGACAGGTTTATTTCAGTCCTGCATGGGAGATCAAACTGGGAAACCCCAAGGGAAATGCTTTCTGGGGGCCCCACTCAGGGCACCTCCTGAGAAGAGCTCTCTGGGGCTCTGGAGAAGGATGATGGACAGATTCAGGGGACAGGTGGCGAGGCACCAACCCCTCATACCAAAATGAGTGTTGTGTGCTGGCCCATTAGCTCAGTTGCTTAGAGCGTGGTGTTACAACACCGAGGTCGTCAAGGGTTCGTATCCCCGTACTGGCCAGCCACCAAAAAAAAAAGAAAAGAAGAAAAAAGTGTTGTGATATGACCACTCAGACTTCAAGCTGCCTCCTGGGTGGGTCACACCATCTTCTCCAATAGCTTTCCTGGGGATTTGCCTCTCCCTGAGCCAAAGCCCTAGTTTTGAAGGGTCCTTGGGCTGACAATCAAAGCTTTATTGGAAAGGCCATGGGAACTCCTCCCATCCTAACTGTGTGTGTAGAGTGGGGTCCACTTCTCAGGTTTCACTCCAGCCAGTGGCACCACTGTTTCGTGCTGAGTTCTGCAGTTGTCTCCTATCTTGTAACTGCCCACCCTGTCTCCTCCCTCACCCCCATCAAAGCCAGTTTTCCAAATATTGGAGGTGACATTCAGATAGTATAAAATGAACCGTTTCATTTGGCATTTAGCACAAGATCAATGCTGTGCGACTACCTCCACTATCTAATTCCAAAACGTTCTCATCACCCCAAAAGGAAACCCTGTGTCCATTAGACAATTACTCCCTATTTCCCCTTCCCCCAGCCCCTGGCACCCACCAATCTGCTTTGTCTTTATGGATTTACCAATTCTGGATAGCTTATATAAACGGAATCATACAACACGTGGCATTCTGTGACTGGCTCCGTTTACTTAGCATCACGTTCTCAAGGTTCATCCATGTGGCAGTATGCACCACTGCTTCATGTAAGGCCACATGCTGTTCCACTGTACATATGTCCCACACTTTGTTCATCCAGTCACCTGCTGATGGATACTTGGGTGTCTCTACCTTTTGCTGCTGTGAGTAGTGCTGCTATGCACCTGTGTGTATATATGGTGGATTGAGTCCTCCCATCCATTCTTCACACAACCTGATCCAATCCCACAACACTCCAGCTACAACCACTTGATGGCTCCCCACCACTCAGGATAAAGCCCAAGCTCCTGAGTGTGACTCTAGAGGCCGTCACACTCTGGCCGCTCCCCATCTCTCCAGCACCATCTCTCACCACGTGCTCCTGCCCAACTGACGTTTTGTTTCTGGCTTGTGCTGCAGGGCTCCTCGCCTCTGAGCCTCCGTGGGTGCTGCTCCCTCTTCCTATACCCTCTTCCTCTGGCTAAGAGGCAACTGCACCGACGACAGTCACTTCCTTATTTCCCAGATACAATCAGATGCACAAGATCCTAGCACAGAGCCAACAAGGCTCCTCGGTGTTTCATGGAAAGAGCTTACAGTGGGATACGGAAGGGCACGCACACTGGACCTTTGCTGTGGAATCCCATGGAAGAGAAAGACACTTGTCAGGGCCCTTCGGATTTGTGTCCTACGTCTCTGCAATATGCCCTGCTGGGAAATGTGAACGTGGTTAGGTGGACTCTGCCCTGGGGCCTCGCAGAGCGAAGTGACAAGCTGCTTGCCTAGCTGGGCATCCTCCCAGCTGCTGAACCTCCTGACCCACCCCTGCTGGGCACACACTCTCCACCCTGAAATGCGGGGCGTGGGTCTGGGGCCTCGCAGAGCGAGGTGACAAGCTGCTTGCCTAGCTGGGCATCCTCCCAGCTGCCGAACCTCCTGACCCACCCCTGCTGGGCACACACTCTCCACCCTGAAATGCGGGGCGTGGGTCAGGCAGTCTTTACTTTTTCCACTGGACGTGGTTGGCACCCCACAGGCCAGCGAGAAGTGGGGCAGGGACTCCCTCTGAACCCTGGCCCCGGAACTCCGAGAGGAGCCCAGCTCAGCACAGAAGCAGGCACCGGTGGGGCAGGTGCTGAGAAAACAGGAACAAAGCTTCCCACTCGAGGTGACCACACCTGAACCTGACAGCCTTCAACTGAGCCCGGGCTGCAGGGTGCCCTGGGTCACACAGGATGTGGTTACTGAAGGGTGGGGAAGTCTACACCTCCACCTTTCACCCACCCTTCCTCCCTCAGCTTCGGTTCTGAGCCTCTGCTCCCTGAGTGTGCACAGTACGCCCCGACGTGCGCACACGTCCTCATGCACACACGTTCATGCACATACCCACACACACGTGACTCTGGCACGCTCTTCATTTCCTCTTCCAACTTCTAAAAATAAACAGTCTAATATAACCTTTCCTTCTATATAATTCCCAAGAGAACCTTTATCATTCTTTTTTTCCCTTCATATTTTCCATCATTCCAACTTCCACATGAGCCTTTGGTAGAAACTGCCTCTGAGGACAATACAGCACGTTAATTCTCTGAGACATCGGTCACCTGCAACTACTGTCCTTCCCCCACAGGTGAAGAGCAGATGGAAAAGCAGGCTCTCTCATGTGTTTCTGGGGGCCTCTGAGGAAAATGACGCTGGCTTTGAGGGGAACACTTACCTCCAGGACTTTCCCTGTGATAAACTGGTGACAGGCTTCACATTTCACTCCAAAGAGCCCCTGGTAGTCCTTTTCACAGTAGGGGGCGCCATCCCTGCAAGACAAAAGCACATTCAGATCCTGACAGGAGGTGGCCGAGGGTCGGGAAAGACACCAAAACCGCATTTCTCTGAGTCCTTTTCCACAGAACGGTGGTAGACAGCATCTCTCTCCCACCCAGCATTCATACGCCTGGCAACCTGCTCAGACATGATCAAAACCACAAACTGAATGTTCCAGAGAGAGCGCTGCAGCTCTCAGGGCCACACAGAAATAATGGACAAATCGCCACATGATTACCCCGGCTGGTTCCTTGATTGTCTCAGAACTGACAGCACAAAACCCAGCATCATTCTCTTTTACCACCAGCTCAGATTGGCCTCTGATGGGTCTCAGTGTTCCTCCACCCTGAGGGGGGCTCACAAGCCACCCTGTTCCCCCACACCCTCTTCCTTGACCTTGCCCCCAGACCAGAGCCCCCCAGCATCCTTGAGCCTCCGTCCCCTCAGCTCTCAGGATCCTGCGGGGGCCACCCTGTTCCCCCACACCCTCTTCCTTGACCTTGCCCCACAGACCAGAGCCCCCCAGCATCCTTGAGCCTCCGTCCCCTCAGCTCTCAGGATCCTGCGGGGCCCAGGGCCTTCTCTCCCAGCTCAGGCAATGTCCTCCATTTGCCTTGGAACACCATAAAAATATTTTGCGTGCTGTTGAGTGGCACAGTTAAACAGCACCTCTCCAGACGACAGCTTACCTACTGCACAGGCTTCAGTGTCAGTTTAAAAGTGGGCATTTTTCTCTTCTTATTTTGGCTGTCCATCACAATCACTGGTGGAGCTTCTTTTTTCTTTCTAACACCAGTGTTTCAGCTTTACCCCAGACCTCCTATGAAAGTAGATTTCTAGGGGGTGAGGCCCAAAGTTGCTTTTTTTGTTTCACTATATTTTTAAATTAATTTTCTTGAATAGCTGATTTCATATGGTTGAGGAAAATTTTTAAAAGCATAAAAGGGTATATAGTGGAAAATTATCCCTCATTGCCAGGCTACGTGCTTTTTTTCCCCACTTCTCTTACTTAACTCTATTATCTGCACGAGCTCTCTGACGAACATGAACCCACTCCCTGGCAGGCTGCCTTGTCA